GCGCGGCGTCGAGCGGTCTTTCGCGCAGGAGATCTTTCGCGGCATCTGCCAGGCGAGGGGCCCCGACAAGAAGCAGGGGGACCTGCCGAGCATCCCGCAGCGGTGCGTCGCGTTTGACAGATGGGCAATCGTCGCGGCGCTCACCGGTCAGATGCCGCTCACGGCGTCCATGGCCCACAAGGAGGTCGCGATGCAGCTCGCCCTGTCGGCGCGGGCCAGTGGGCGCGCGACCGCGATCGCCGTCCTCTACGACGAGATCGCCCGGCGCGAATGGGCAGACTTTTCAGCGGGCCTGGGCGCCTTCGACGTCGCCGCGGCCGCGCAGTCGCAGAACGCGGCCACCATGCTCCGGGCGGAGCGCGAGTGCGACGCCCGCGGGTTCCAAGCGGTGCACGACCGAGCTCCAGCGCAGTCGAAGGGCAAGGCAAAGGGCGCCGGCAGGGGCCGCAAAGGCGGCAGCGACCACAGCGCCAAGGGCGGCAAGGGCAAGGGCTACGGCAAAGAGCACAAGGGCAAGCCCGCGAACGACTCTCACCGCTGGCAGGGGCATTACTCGTCCGGGAGTGCCGCCAGCGGGGCGCAGGCGCTGGCGACGCCAAGCAAGCGCCAGAAGAGAGAGTGAGGGGCCGCAGCCGCCCCGCCCGGCGCGGGGGCAGCACTCCCCGCGCACCCTGCGCAGTCAGCCGCGGAGCCAGTGCGGGTCCAGTCAGGTGCAGTTCTCCCCAACACATCCTGCGCTGATCTGAGTTGCTCCCAGTCGGAATTCGACGCTGCCAGCGCGCAAGCTCTGCGCGGCGAATTAGCGCCCGACGAGGTCGAGGCGCTGCGTTTCACGCGTGAGGCGCTCGGCCGCCGCGACGCGCAGCCGAAGCGCACGGGCGTGCAGTGCGAGTGCATGGAAGCGTTGCGGTGGAGCGCCGCGCGTAGCCTACGCCAGCGCATCAAAGAACGCGAGGAGCGCGTTCGGCGGATCGAAGCCCGGGCGGCGCACTTCGAGGCGTCCGGGGAGGCCGAGGCCGCGAGAAAGGCTGCGCCACAAGAATTCAGGCCGCTTATCGCAGGCGTCAACATTCCACTTTTACAGGAATTTGCGCGTGAGTCTGAGTGGCACGACGCAGAGTGCATCGACTTCTTCTCGCGAGGCGCCCCTCTGGGAAACCTAGAATACAGCGGCAACGGTCGCGCGCTCAGACCGGGAGAGCGCGCGGGCGACACTGGCGCTGAGGTAGCCCGTTTGCGTGCCAGCGCGCTCGCGTGCAACGACTTGATACTTGCATCAATTCGCGAGGATCCCCTCGCCAGCGAGCTGCTCCGTAAGTCGCGGGAGGAGGCGGACTTGGGTAGGATGTCTCCGCCGCGGGCTTTTAGGCCCGACATCTCCGCGGCAGAGCTTGCCGCAGCTTGGGGCGAAACAATTCGTCTGGTGCCCATGTTTGGGGTCTCGCAACCGAAGCCCGACGGGTCGCTGAAAGTGCGCCCGGTGGATGACTTCACGCGCTCCAGGGTGAACGGCGCGTGCGCTCCCGCCGAGAAATTGAGCGTGGAAGGCGCGGACCAGCTGGTAGCGGTCGCGCGCGCCTTCTTCGAGTTGCACGGCGCGCTTCCCGAGTTGTGGAAAGCGGACGTAGATTCCGCTTACCGCCGCACCCCGTTGGCCCCCGCCGATAGGTGGGCCGTTGTCAGTGTTTTCAAGGAGGGCGGCCGCCTGTGGTGCTCGCAGCACCTGGTCTGCCCGTTCGGCGCGCTAGCATCTTGCCACGACTGGGACCGCGTGGCCGCCATGCTCTCGCACTTCGCAAGGCGGCTCGCCAAGCTGCCAATTTCGTGATACGTAGACGATCATTTTGCGCCGGATCGCCCCGGCGCGGCCAACCACGCCATGCGGTGCTTCGCTCGCATCGTCAGAGCCGCGCTCGGCAGCGACGCAGTAGCCGACGCGAAGCTGGCGCACGGGGCCCAGCTGGTCGTTTTGGGGCTGCTCTTCTCTTTCTGTGCGCAGGGCGTACGCTGCGAGCCAGCGTGCGACAAGCGGCTCAAGTGGTCGTCCGCCATCCGGCATGCTTTAGAATGCGGCACGTTGCACCAGGGCGCTGCGAAGAAACTCGCGGGCGCTCTCGCATGGGCCGCGCAGCGCTTGTTTAAGCGCTTGGGCAGAGCAATGCTCCGCCCACTCTTCGCGCACCAGCACAGGCGCTCCAATCGTATCGGGCGGCCTCTCGAGCTTGCGCTGCACTGGTGAGCGCAAGTGCTCGAGCTCAGGCTGCGCGAAGTGGCCAGCTGGAAGCAAGGGGACATGCCCGCGGCTCACATGTTCTGCGACGCGCGGAGCACGCCCCCTCGCGCCGCCGCCGTGCTTTTTTTATAGACGGCGAAATCCTGTTTGCCGAGTGCGCACCCGACGCAGCTCTGATGCGGAATTTCAAGCGCAGACGCGACGGCCAGATTATGGGCCTCGAGTTCTTGGCGGTCGCATTAGGCCTGTCGTCTTTTGAAGAGCGACTGGCAGGTCGGGCGCTGGAAGTGTTCTCGGACAATTCGGGGGCCGAGAGACCAGTGGCGCTCGCACAGCCCTCGTCCACGGCATTTGGTCTCTCGCGGCGCGCATGTCCCTGTCGATGTGGGTGCACCGCGTCCCGCCCACGCGGCGCCCGGGCGCGCTCGCGCCGGGTGCCGCGTGCGACAGCGCGGCGAAGCGAGAGCTGGCGCGCGCTTACAGTGCCGTGCGCAGCGTGCAATTGTCACCCGTGCCCACGGGCGGCCCTCGCAAGTCCATCGCGAGCGGCGCTCGCGGGCCCCCGTCGCCAGTGGCCATGCAGGAAAGCCTGGCCCGCGCACGAGCTTTGGCAATCGTCGGCTCGGCGCCGCGTTCCTTCGGGCCCTGGAGGGCTGCGGTCAGGGCGCGGGTGGCTTTCGCGCAGCGTCGCCTCGACAAAGACGGCTGCAGCGCACTGCCGCCGTCGGCCGACGAGGCGTGCTTGTTCGCGCTCGAATTTCGCAACCCGCGCACCTTCGGCAATTACGTGGCACAGCTTAAGAAGGCATGCCAGTTGTTGGGCCGGGGCGCGCTGGCCTTTTTCGCGCCCTTCGGTTAGGGGCGCCCGCCAGGCCATCGGGAAGCGGCACCCCGTGAGGCGGCCGCTAAGTGTTTCGTCCTGCTCGCGCACTTATCGGCTATGCTCGACTTTGTAAGTGCCGACAGCGCGATGTGCGCGCTCTTCTTGGTGTCCTGGGGGTTCGCTCTGCGCGTGCCCTCCGAGGCCCTCTTGATTGGGCGAGGCGACCCATCGGCATTTAAGGACTTCGCCTTCTCTGACGAAGACCTGCGAAGGCCAGTCGCAAGAGTCGTAATCTTCTTTTCGGGCGATTCTGCAACGTTGCATTTCTCGCGGCGTAAGCACCGCGACGGCCCGACGGTCGTGGTGCGGAATTGCCGGTGCAAACATTCGCGTGAGACTTGCATTGTGCACGCGGCGCGTAGGTTTTTTTCGAGGGCATTTGCGTCGGCTCGCCCGCGTTCCCGCATATGCGGCGAGTCGACGGCAGCGGCGTCGTCTCAATAGCCGTGCCCGTGCAGCGCGCGATCAAGGCGGCGGCGCGGCACGCCGGCGCACCGAGCGCGGTTTCTTTTACGAGCAAAGCGTTCCGCCGCGGGCACGCGGAGACGAGGCGGAGGTGCAACGGCCGCCTTTGTGAGATCCTCCGGCGCCGATTGGAGTTCCCGCGCTTTCAAAGAATACCTTGCTATGCACCAGCACGAGGGCGATGCGACCGCCGAAGCAGTGGCCGCTGCCTCGTGCCCAAGCGCCGGCGCGGCGAGCAGACCAGGTTCTGCGTCGGCGCCTGCGGGGTAAGTCGGCCAGGCTCACGATCGGCGCGCACTGCGACCTGCACCCGGGGCTCCATTGGGTCGCGGCAGGCCTGGCGCGCCACGGCCCGGCGAGCCTGGGCGCTTGCGGCGTTGGGTTCAACGCCCAGGCTGGCCTGGTTGGGGACTGTGCGCGTCACCGAAAGCACCCCCCACGCGGGGCGCTCGCGGGACGGCGGCCCGGGCTCGGTCGCCGCGCCCATCGTTGGGGCGTTGGCGCCCGAGGTCGGGCACGCAAGGAAGGTACGCCGAGATCTGCGGGGGGCGCACGCCCGTAGGGTGCTGCGCGGGCACAAATCGCAGGTCGGCCGACGGGCCCTGCGACGCCGCGGCGCGTGCGACGCGCGCCGCATGCAGCCCGACCGCAGCACGCGCCGCCCGCAGTCGCGTCTTTGCGCTTCTGCGTTGTTTCGCGCGGGCCTGCCGCGGTCGCTCGCGCAGGCGCGCCGCGGGGATCGCGCGCTGGGCGGATCGCGGCGCGCCCTGGCGATGCTCGCTTCGCAGGTTGTCTATTATATTGATTTGGGCACCGCGCTCGTGCGGCGCTCGCGCGGCGCGGGCCCGTCGGCCGTTCTGCCCCGCCCACCCGCTCCTGGGTGCGGGGCTGCCTCGGTCGTTCGCGGCCCCTTGTCCGCGTCTCCCGCCCGCCCTTGGGGTTCAACGCCCAGGCTGGCCTGGTCGGGGACTGTGCGCGTCACCGAAAGCACCCCCCACGCGGGGCGCTCGCGGGACGGCGGCCCTGGCTCGGTCGCCGCACCCATCGTTGGGGCGTTGGCGCCCGAGGTCGGGCACACAAGGAAGGTACGCCGAGATTTGTGTGTGCATACAGGCACTCCAGCATCAAATGGGACCGTGTAGAATTGCACGAAAGAAACGCCCCTAATAAGGTGGATGGTGTTGAATCGTGGGATCGATAAAGAGATCGATACGGAGATCGACCAGGAGCCCGGGAACCCACTAACCTTGAATCCGCCGAAACCGAATAACCAAGAATCCAGGAATCCCGATCCGGGAACCCGGGAACCGAGATGGAGATCTGATCTAAATCTTTCAATTTCCGCTAGGACCTCTTCAGTGCGAGCGTTGATTGGGGAAATTCGTCCTCTCATGCCCGACCCCGCCAAGAAGCCCACAG